ATTCAGGGAGCAATTATAAGATAGTATGAAGCGATGCGAGTCTATAATCCCTCCTATTTCAAGTCAATTATCTTGTCAGTATCTATAATCTCGCAGAAGATCGAGGTCAGTTATATGTAGAAAAACTGGGTTTCGAAAAATCCCATAATAGATTAGTGTTATAGTTGCTATCCTAATTCCCAGCATTTTACCGTGGACATGGTACATTCTCAAATTTTTCGCCAGCATCGTAGTCGGATTTATAAATACGTCATCCCATTCTCTGCACCAAGCTACAACTTATCAAATAGACAAGTGAAGTCAATCCCTTGACCATCATTCTGCCAATACGATTGCACTACAACTCTTCTTTCTGTGACATATTTCATTTGTTCACAGTATACGTTTTACTCCAGGCGCTTTCTCAAGTCCCTAGAAGCATGTACAGTGTCGCCTTATCGAGCAGATATTAGGCAATGGAGGGATCGTCTCCTTAATTAAACCCGTGTAACCTGAAAAAACTGTGGAAGCCTATCCCTAATCGCCTGCGGTATAAAAATTGGATTTCTAGTGCATTTTCGCCAAAATGCCGAATTTCTGTGACGATTGTGCCTACCAAGTTACGTCACAGAAATTCAGCATGGAAAAAATCCACTAGAAATCCAATTCAGATGCTGAAGGTGTTCAGTTAACACCAGTTTTATTAAGGAGACGACCCGTAAAGACAATGCCTAATAATTGCAAGCATGGGAACCAGAGCCTAAGCGCTCCGCTTGGTGAGGCGGCATGGACACGCTGTAGGAGCCTATGAAGCAGAGCTTGGAGTAAAACGTAAATTAGGACTATGACCGAATTAAACCAGTCAACTAGAATGATAATAAATGTATCCTACGGGATCATGAGATTTGGATAGGAGATCCGAGTTGGATTAGTCGATCAGAGATGATAAAAGCAATGAGATAGAAATAAAAAACAAATCAATACCTTGAATATGGCACCAACAGGGAAGGACAACTCATCCGAATGCCGAGCATCAAACGAAAATATTGATTTGAAAAGTTTGAAATCGCCCTGCGAAGTAGGTGTCGTGGGGTCTAAGGTATTGTTGAATACCTTGAAACTGAGCAAAGGTTGCGGAAATGAAAAATGGTGAAGTTTTTAAATCATGAAAAGTATGCGTATGTGACAAGATCCAAGCAAAAATTCGACCGATCACGGACCAATATATCCTACATCAAGGATAACTAAAAATGAATAGTCAAATTTAATAAATCGATAGAGATCAAGTAAAGAACGTCACAGAAATACACTAAAAGAAGAATAGGAGAATAGGTGTTTCAGAGGCTGAACTATAATTAAAAGGTAAGATAAGATAAGAAACCTGTACAAAGACTCTTAAAAATATTTTAATCCAACATTTGCCAACTATTTTGGATGATCTCAGGTGTATTTAAATTGATATATATTGCTATGACAAAAGAGAGAAGGTAAATAATATTTGATCAAAAAATGTATAAAATGGGTGTGGTAAAAAGATAGTTGGCATCAATGATAGAAAACATAACAAGATCGCCTTTTATTTTGAGAAGAAAACTAAAATGTGGTTAATAAAGAACTTATAGAACGCAAGTAAAGAAGAAATTCAAGAAAGTTGATGAGTATAGAAGTTAGTATCCATCATAGTTAGGGGGACCTTCATTTCGAATAAAAGTGCATGAGGAAGAGATTCGTTGGTCGATCCCACCCAATGAGGACGGATGTATTTCGTTGTACTGCCGCCCTTTGGCTTTTATATGGTAATCATGTTGACGTGGTCCACGAGACTTGCTCCCTCGTTTCGGATGAAAACGTGTTGAGCTTTCGTCCATCATATGATGTACATCATCAGAGCTGGGTGTCATTCTTGTAAAATTATTACGTTAACACTAAAGCAAGAAGACTGTCAGGCTCGATCTTAATTCTTATATAGACTCAATCGAGCCAAAAAATTTAAAACTAAGATAGATTTATATAGTGGTTTGGTTAATTTTCTTTCATACTAGTCCTGTTATTTTTGCTCGATTGTATGAGTTTATATTTGTGCGCGCTAGCGTCTATATGCAATATGGTTCCTAAATCATAGTTGTCAAAGGTTAAATCTCAGGTTCTGATCCTCAAGATATAATGACCTAAGAGAAATCCTTGACCGACACTGCGTAGTTCCGTAAACAAGTATGGTTGAGATAATGAAATATGGGCATGTAAGCATGAAAATCAAGTTACGAAACCATTTGTCTTAACCTTTCAGTCTAGGGTCATTAATGTTTAACCCTTCTAGGAAAGGCAAGACTGGGGTTGCGTAATCTGACATATCATGTTTGGTTAATGAGCTTAATTTTACATGCTGGACGAGTGTAAGTGAAGTTAGAACCATCACCGAGCAGACAAATTGAGTCGCCTTGTTTTTGACGGCGGCTCAACACCCTCTCTCTCTTTCAATCTATCAATCAAGCATAAGTACTTCCTACTCAACTTTATACCACGGTTCCTCACATTCAACGTATTTCTTAGGCTATTAATTTAGATAACCTCTCTTATCATTCTTTTAAACACAGACTTACCGCAATCAGCAATTGTAAGTTATACGAACAAAAACAAGGATTAGCGATGGGATCTCGTCTGTCTCCCATCTTAGCGAACAATTATATGGCAAAATTGAAGGAACACTTCCTGCAAGAGGCAACACTAACACCCAAATTGTTGGTTAGATACATGGATGACTATTTCGTGAACTGGACATAAAATAAAGTGGTCACAAACTAGTAGGTTTGTTGATTACGGTACGCCTGTGTTTAAAAGAAATATAAAAGAGGTTATCGAAATTAATAGCTTAGGAAATACGTTGGATGTGAGGAACGGTGGTATAAAGTTTATTAGGAACTACTTATGCTTGATTGATAGATTGAAAGAGAGAGAGGGTGTTGAGCCGCCGTCAAAAAGAAGG